ATGCATCCCAGTCCACATTCTGATTCACCTTCCAGTTCACAGGATTCTCACTCCATGACACAGCACCGACGGGCAGCGAAGAAACTCCAAAACCCACACCTTGTGCCGTCTCGCAGCTCCCCGTTATGCCAGGGGTGTGTAACCCCTCGTAAAGCGTAACCTTTTCGCGAACAGGCCCCACGGGGGCGGCATCTCCCTCCGCGGCACCTGCATCCTCCGTGCCCGAGGCCACCGGCAACGGCGACCGACTCCGAACGGTCGAGGGTGGCATAGCTGGCCAAACGATGAGGCTGGACGTTGCCTCGGACATCCTGCGGTCCAGCGCCTCGATGGCGCGCTTGATGCCGCCGAGCTCGCCGGCCATGGAGGCCGTTTCTCGAGCATGGTTCGCAGCCATGCTTTCCACTCGTTCGGAAACCGTCTCTTGGGCGTTTTGCTGCGCTTGAACGGCGGCGCCGAGGTCGCCCAACACTCGCGCTGCTTGGCGCAAGCTTTCATTGGCAATCGAAGCCTCCTCGGAGGCCTTTCCCATAGCATTGGCCAGCGCCTCCAACCGCGCATCTTGGCCTCCTTTCTCCGATTCCAATGCCACCAGCCGTTCGCGTACCTCTGAAACATCCTCCTGAGTCCTTGCGAGCCGTCCGCCGTCGATCGCGCCCGCCAGCTGCACCTCATCCGCCAACTTCTGGTTGGCCTCCGAAAAATGCACCTCCGTTTCTGCCAGCCTCTTCCCCATCTGCTCCATTTTACGGTCCAATTCTTCGCCGATCTAGTCTTGAGTCCTGCGCAGCTCTCCTTGCATGGCGGTCTCCATTCTGCCGAGCTCACGGGCTTGCATTTCGGCCCGTTCCCTCACACCTTCCAGCCCGGCGCCGATCACCGAAATGGCTCCCTTGTGGGACGCCATTCTGCCGTGCATCCCTTCCTGCAATGCCTGCAGCTCGCGGCCTTGCTGCAGCTGCTGCGCTGCTGATTGATTCGCCGCCTGCTCGAGCTGCTGCCCGAGCGACTCCCCCATACCGCGGAGGGCGGCATTCTGCTGCTGCCCGGCCGAATTGCTCCATTCTGCGACCGCAAAAAGGGTCGCTCTCCTCGCAGCAACCGCGGCCACAGCCCCCACTTGGCGCAGCAATAGCTGCTCCGGCCGATCCTCACTTTCTCCGTGCTGCGCGACCGTCACTCCTCCGCCGTTTCCATTTAGTTCCATGGGGGTCGGCCCGCCTCGATAGGGCACCAATTGCCCGGCCGATTGGTCCCCCGGATTCCCAGACTCCGGGCGAGGATCCCCACTCGCCATCCCGGCCGTCGGCCAGTGTGTTCTCGCCGCTTGAACGCTCCGCTCCGAAACCAATGATGCAGGAGCTTCGTTGCTCCCGCGGGCGCACAGGTCGGATGAACGGGCAGTCGGAATCCCCGGGCGGTTACTACATTTGTACATTATACAAGATTGTTTTTAATTGCTCCGTTCATTGTCCCATGTCCTTTGTAACCACCCCAGGGCCAGTTTACCCAACTCAGACCCATTTAGGGTAATCAAATACATCTAACTCATCTACAGAAGCAACCGTATCACTACTCGCCCTGGTCATAATTTGCAACAGATCGTGCAGGGCATGTGCAGATCCACCTAAATCTCATTATAAACTACCCTATTCTTAAGGCTACAATTGATAGTAGCTTCCATTATTCCTAAAATACTTTAACCACTATTTCTTTCCAACAACACCTAGATTTACAGTCCTAAAACTCCTCAAAAACACATCGGAAACAAAGGTTGTTTCTTAGGGTCTACTTATTTTGTTCTTTTTAGGACCTTAAATTTTCCAAAACTTACCAGAAATAACTTACCAGAAAATTTATATTTAAATATAAATTTTGTACTATTCAATTGCAAATTGAATTTGCAATCGATATGTATCACCAAAATCTCATAATGCCCCCTTTCAACCCATAATAATTCTCCATGCCTGACTGCAATCAAAACCCCATGTATCAAGTTGCATTCAGTCGCCTAACATATAGGGCGATGCGACAGCGCCTAATTCCTACCCGATATGCGTGCATATCGCAAATCCCCCTGGGCGCCCCTCTAAGTCAGCGTTCAGTGGTACGGGCACCCCCCGCCATCTCACTCCCCGCGCTCACACCCCCTTGCAGCCCCTCCGGCCTGCTGGCCGAGGTCCGGTCTGCGCTTCCGCTGAGCAAGCTCCTGGCACCCCGAGCAAGGCCCCCCTCCATAGAATGTCCAGCTCACTTTTTCCGGAAAGATCCTCCCCGTTTCGGAAACACATCCAGACCGCCCCGTCCGCGGCTCCTGCATTCATCTTCGGGGAGTGCTCTCTCTCGAGCCCCCCTCTGTAAGCGTGCTGCCCGGGCAGAAAGGGAACTTTGCCCCTTGCCTCCAGATCCCTTCGGCCACCTCCTAACAATCCCCTCAGGATTGTCTTTTCCACCGTGCAGTTGCGACCCCCTCCGCAGAGTCCCATGGGTTCCCATGGGCTGAACCACCCGATCATTAGGCATTGCTCCGATCTTTCAACGCAGGGGCCATCGGCAGATACCCCTAGTCCGTTCGGGTCAGTCGTTTGGCACACACACGGCATCTTAGCCAATCGCTGGGCATGCGGGTGAATGGCGTCGGGTGCGGGCCTCACAGGCCATGGTGCTTCCTGGGTGCTTCCCGCACAATGGGTGAATAGTTGGTTGGGATTACGTGGAAGTTGTTTGCTTGTTGGCATACACCTGGGCCCTGACGGCCCCTGTGCACGTGGGTTCCCTGTGGCCTCATGGTAAGCTGCTTGAAGGGTACCCCTCTGGTTTGTTTGCAAACTGGCAATTGAGGCCACACCGGCTTGGAATCCTAGGCCTCACGGGGCACCAACTTGGTAGTATTCGCGTAATATTTCATGTGGCATGGCAGCCATCTATTCACATAGATTGGCTCCAACTATTGGTTCCCCGAACACATAGTATTAGCCCAGATCGTTCCACCTCAAGCGAAGGGCAAGACGAGCTCGCCATGCCCCACTTTAAAAAGTCTTGACACAAGGAAAAGTGGCGTCGTGCTCCTCTTGACGTATATCAAGAACAGCAGCGCCGTTTTCAACGTTGAAGTGCTCTACGGATAGCTATCGATATGGCACATCGAAGTTGTTTTAGTCAAACTTTCTGACTCGCACGTTTTGACCTCCGTTTGCGCGATTTGGATAATCGACAGGGCTTTTGAAACAAAGGTAGTGTTAATAGCTGGACGCATCAATGGGCGATGAGACTATAGGAACTGAATCAAGAGCACTGATGAACGGACCCGGTATATGGGACGGAATTCCCGTTGTCCGTTTGCTCCGGTGTAAACCGTTGCCGTGTGCTCGTGCCTGCTCGTCCCCAGCTGGGCTGCCGCCCCTCGACCCTGCCTGCTTCATCATTGCGCCCCTGTGTGCCCAGCCCGCATTCCGTTGACGGGGACTGATCCACCAGCTGCGGCAGTTTCCAGTTTCCTCCGCACAAGGATCACATCACACCCCCCTCCCCACCCCACCCCATGGACGGTGATCCAGTACGGCAGCACAGTCAGGGTTTGGGCATCCGGCTCCCGCCGTCCGGCCACGTGTCCGCTTCTGTGGACCACGTGGGGCCCCCCCACCCCACCCCCACCCCCCATCCCCGCAGCCCTGATGATAGACAGGACTGCGGACGGGACCCCCTCAAGGGCCTCCCGCGCCAATCCCTCCCGGTGGGCTCGCTCACACCGGGCGCTGAAACCGCACACCGCGGGCTAAGGGGAGCTGAGCGGGCGGGGCAACTCGGCAGGGCGATTCCGGACTGAAGTGGATCGAGTCTGGCGGCTGGGCGCCGACTCGAGGTCACAGGCGAGGTCGCGGCGAAGGGCCGCCGGCTGGTTGCGCGCCGTGGCGGCCTGGCCCGTTCCCGGCGCGAGCTGCCCTTCGGAGCGCTTTCCGCGCGATCTCTGGCGCGCGAGGCGGTCGCGAGGGTAGCCCACGGGCGGAATCGAGGCCCGAGTTGGGATCCAGTCGGGCCGCCGTGCGGGTTGGCGGGCCGTTTGTGGGGGAGTTGCGCGCGTGCAGACCGCGCGTGGGGTTGGCCGTATACCGGACGGCGGGAGCGATCCCGGTGGCGGGGGCGGCATGGCGGAGGCTGCAGGCAGGCGCGACCACAGCTGCGGGACATGGGAGAACTTCCCTGCCGGGCTGCGGGTGCTCGTGGTGGACGACGACTCGCTGTGCCTCAAGGTCATCGAACAGATGCTGCGCAGCTGCAAGTACGAAGGTGAGGGACCCCGGGCCGGGGCGGGCTGGATGCCTGGGGTGGCGAGAGTGGGGGGAATTGGAGGCGGGTCGGGGGCGTTGTCAAATGGGGCATCGGGATTGAGGTGTGGGGGGCATGCTCCGGTGTGGTTGCAGTTACGACGTCGATCACGTCGATGGGGGCCCTGGAGCTGCTGCGCGACCGGAAGAATGACTTTGACCTCGTCCTGTCGGACGTCTTCATGCCAGGTGGGTCGTCCGAGCGCCGTTCGTGAGAGGCGAGCGTGCGCGGCGATGCCGTGAAATTTTTGAAGCGCCCAGCCTGCTCCGCGCCTGCCCGTCGGATGACCCCCCCTCTTGGGGTGGGGGCGGGGACGGGCGGCCGCTCCCTCCGCGTTGGGCGCCACTGACCCTGTCGAGCGCTGCCGGCGCGCAGTCCTCGCCGAGTTGATTTGGGGCAGGATTTGTTGGAGAGACGCGTGCTGGCCCTGTGTGTGGCAGACATGGACGGCTTCAAGCTGCTGGGGAGGATTGGGCTGGAGCTCGGCATTCCCGTCATAAGTGAGTACCTCGCTCGGGCGCCGTCTTCTTCTCGCGACTCCGGCGATCGGACTCTCGCCGCCCCGATTCCGGTTGGCCTGGCGCTGTCGCTCTTTGCCTGTACGCTTGCCGGTGCTTCACTGCGCGGCGGCGTTGGGGCGTTGCCATTGTCCCGCGCGCTGTTTCAATGTCAAGTGGCTCCACTGGGCACTCCCCCCCCTTTGGCTGTCATTTCGATCCAGAAAAGCGCCGCGGGAGGGCAGGGCGCATGCACGTAGACTCGGCCAATTAAATTGAATCAGGGTTGCGAACGCGACACCGCGCGGTGGTCCTCCGCGGGGCCCACCCCGCGGCAGCTGGGGTCTTGCAGCGCAGGAGCTTTGGGGACCAGCATTGGTGGGGACCGCCCGAATGCGAAGCGTAAAAACGGGATAAGTAAGAGTATGAGATGATCTTTTAGTAGAAGTCGTTTGCACCCCGCCGGAGATTTGGGCGGGGACGCAGCGGCTACGTGTGCGCGCCGGCCGGAGCCGCGCCGACTTGTGTGCTTGGCGAGAAGAAGGTTTCCTAGATGCGATGTCGCGGCCAAGCCGTGCAGGGCTGACTCGCTGACTCGCTCGTGGCTGCGGCAGTGATGTCGTCGAGCGGGGACACGGACGTCGTTCTCAAGGGGGTGACCCACGGGGCGGTGGACTTCCTCATCAAACCGGTCCGCGTCGAGGAGCTGCGCAACGTGTGGCAGCACGTGATAAGGAGGCGAAAGGACGTGGTGCGTGCCCAAACCGCGACCCGATGCCTGCCAACTGGGCCCTGGTGTGGTCTTTTGCAGCTGGCAGGCGTCGTCAGGCGATCAGCGAAGTGCTCCTTGCGCCTTGCTGATCGGCTGGCAGCTTGCGTTGAGGGTTTAGACGGCTGAAGGCATGCCCATAAGCAGGGACACAAAATGTGCCTGGGGCGGTTCGAGCGTAGCAGTATCATCCCTGCTGCAGGGTGGTGTTGTTGTGCTGCATTGTTCCTGACACGCTGTGTGACATGGGGTGTTTTGTTGAATGCAAGGCATACATGATCAGAATGGAGTTTGACCTGATTCCCTGTCTCCATGTGCAGTCCCATATCTGCATCTTTGTTTCGCTTCTCAGAGCTGGAAATAAATCACGGGTATTTTATTCCAAATAGATTTGCGCGATCAGAATATGACGAGTCACAGCACTTGCACCTAATAAATGTTAATGGACGTTCCTATCATTCACCGGTGCCTGCTCAGGAAGTGTGAATTCCCCATTTTCCGCCCAAGAGCATTTGGCAGAATTCCTCATCGATTGCATTGGTCACTCAAGGACAAACACTTCTTTGACACCAATCCTGCAATGCTGGTGCACAGTGCTGGTGGCCAGAATTTCGCTCCTTGCAGAAATCAGGTTATGGGGGCGATGCTTGGATGTTGGCTTTTGATAGCATTGGGGAAGCAGTTCAGCAATCAGTTGCCCACAGACTCGGTTTGGAATTCTCCATTCCATTGGTGGTTCCCTGGCCACTGGCTTGTAGTTTATGTGCAGAACTGAATCCACAACCCTGTGCTCAGCATGTAGCAGCACGTGCCACATGTTCAGCTTGCTAGTGTGCCAGAACCAAAGCGTGCTTCACATGCAGGACTGGCCTTGCGAATTGTGAGTAAACCATGGCCCCCCTTATCCAAGGATGCCTTTGTTTTTCTGTTCAACAGATGTGTTTGACATCGCAGCAGAGCACATATCTCTCGTTGAATATCCTTTGCTGTGCTGCAAAATGTGTTTATTGGCTCATTTTCTCCTGGGAGCGGAAAGGGAAAACACTCCCACTTTCCTGACTCATCATGCTTGTGTACTGAAAGCCCATGCCACAGTGCCCCTGACAAAACGTTGAGCGTAGTGCTTGGATGTGCATCCATGAGCGTGTCTATCAGTTCAGTGCGAAATCGTGTGCATTTGCAAGCAGGCCAAGGAGCCAGATGTGGAAGAGGGTGCGAAGAGAGACGAAGGGTCTGGCGGGGACAGCTCCAGAAAGAGAAAAGAAATTGGAGGCTGCAGGGATAGCAAGGTAGGCCAGTCAATTCCGGTGGAAACATTGGAAACGTCGCGTGCCCTGCACATACATATGCAATATATAGGAGTTCTGTCTGATATGCTACCTGCATATTCTACAAGTCTCCATATACCACATGCTGTACACGTGCACACTGCAGGCTGATGTATGTCTGATATCTACCTCGGGCTTGAGCACCATAGCCTGGATATGGACAGACTGTCTCCAAAGATCTTATCCAGAATATCGTTGTCCAGAATATATGCAGCTGCCATGTCTGTTCGATGTTGAGGATGCAAATGTGAATGAGGGGGCCTCGCATATCAAGATTGGGGCCACTTTTCAACGCTGTCTGCCACCTTCTGGGACCCTATCTTTTCTGCTTTGTGTCGCCTTGTCCCTCTTGTGCTCTTCTTTTTCTCTTCATTTCCTGCCCTCTGCTTTGGTTTTTTGTTCATTTCCGAGCTGCCATGTAGGTCGCATGCATGTTGTTCCTGAGCCCCATACCTAGTATTGCAGCATAGTTGCCAGAGGTGGCATATTGCTGCAGGCATGAGTGATGCGTAGAAGCACAGTGGCCTCCGGGCAAGTGTGGTACTGTCGCAGAACCAGAATGTGGCACAGCGACTCGCATATGGAAGTGTCTCTGTCCAACAATCCTTGTCTGTCCAATCTTCCACAGTGCTTGCGAGTTGTTCGAGGCCATGATGGGAACACAATCCAAGCAGGTCAAATTTGCCTGTGATAGACTTTGTTTCCAGAGTCTTACAGGATCAAAGTACAGACAGAAGCCTTGCCAGTGCAGGATCTTAAATTGGTCAGGATACAGATACACTCAAACTAAGCAGCCATGGTGGCAGCACAACATTCTTGTGCTTGTTGTAAGAAACATTATGCACCACGAATGCAGTACATAAATAACGCAAAAAGTCTTGTGTTGCCTTGGTGCCTGTTGCAATGCATGACTGTGCAGCACTTTGGAGGTTGTGCTGCAGCTGCACTTAAATCTGCAGACTGCACTGTGGATGGCCTCCGAGGTTGCATTGGATGTTGGTGATGTGTGCCTGACCCTTTGTGCAGAGAGACGATGGCTACGCAACAAAGAAACCCAGGGTCAACTGGTCAGTGGAGATGCACCAACAGTTTGTCAATGCAGTCAACCAGCTGGGCGTCGACAGTGAGTGGGAAGCCCATTGGGCTGGGGCGCACTTTTTGTGGTCATCCATGCACAGTGTCTATTGTGAGAACTTTTGCTGTGTAAGCCAATGTGTAAATTAAAACCAACAAATAGAAGATAGTTGTGTGTTCATGAGTTTGTAATTGTGTTTCAACCAGTCCCTTGGTTTTTTCACGACGATTGCACCTAGTTTAAGCTTGAAACGATAGCCACAACCCAGTGTCTGGTGCAGCTTTTGAAGCATCTCAAGACCTAATCACTGCGCTGGCCATTCGTTTGCTCCTGTGTTCCTCGTTGCACTTTTTTGGTCAAAATGAGTGCAAGATTCACGACTCGGTACTATGGCATAAGGGTGCACTGCTTTTGGTCGTCTGTGTTGTACTTGTACCTTTAGGATCTGTTGATGCTGAGCAGTTGTGCTGACATCGACACTGCCATCAAGCATTTCACAACATCGTATTCCCAAACCACTGGATCTGGCACTCTCCAAATGTTGTCATGTCGCTGTTCTAGAGTACTTGTAATAAATAGAAGAGAGCTCCATCCCAACTCACTTGCAATAAATGGAACAATACGAATCACAGCAATAGTCAATGATTGGTGTACAACGCATGTGGCAGGACTTGCTGCTGGCCATGCACTTTCCTGTTGATTGATTAGTGTCACAGTAACTCCAGCTACCACCAGATTCATTTGGTTTCTCCTGCTCATTGGTATCATATGAGTTTCCTCATGTTTGTTGGTACTCTGGTCACGGCGTCACCAGCAGATTTGCGTGGTGCTTTCGCTCATTGGGGGCAATCGAGAACAAAGACCTTTGGGGAGGGGGGGGGGGGATTAGAAGCGTTTGTTGTCACTGCAGCGACTGCCTAGCAACCAGCAGCCATGATTTTGTTTTTGTGGACTGTGCACCATGCGTAGATGTGCAGTCACTCCTGCGTTTTGTTGACTGGCTTTTAATGGCACAGTGCGTGTTTCTCGCATTTATGTCTGCTTGCAGCATGTTTGAAGTTGAAGAGAGATGGAGTCCATAAACTGCATGTGTGCTGTGTTGGATAAGACAAAATGGTGTGGCCGTTGGCCAAATTTCTTGTTCTCTTTTCACCAGTGTGTCTGGTGTTGTGTGGCACAGAGGCCGTGCCAAAAAAGATACTGGAGCTGATGACTGTGAAGGGGCTGACCCGGGAGAATGTTGCGAGCCACTTGCAGGTTTGTTGCCTTATGTTGTGATGTATTTGAGGACAGCCAAACAGGTGTAAGGGCTGAGAAGTGGGGCAAGGGCATGCATGTGGGTGTCTTTTTCCACCCTCTGGCACGCAGCACACTTGCTGTGAAACTCTTCTGCATACCATAGTCTTCTGCACTGTGGAAAGGAGATTCGCACAGTCCTTCTCTGTGGTTGGTTTGACATGTGAAGTGTGTCGCATGTGACACCCTGTTTGCCAAATGCAGCAACTACCAATAGTGTCCGGTTCAAACCATACCTTTGCCCATTGTGCTCTAAGTCAACATCAGCATGTTGGAATTTCTGTGTGACCTACAGCATTTGAAATCCATGTCTGAGTACTGATTAATGGCATATATAGGATTATATATGATTGATATATATCAATCATGCCATGCTATGTTAATTGGGATGTAGTTGTGGTTGTGTTTCTTTGGATGTGTCGCTCCAATAATCTTTGCCGATGCAGCAGGTGGCCATTTCTGTAGTGGCCGATTGCTGGGAATTGTGGCACTGTAGTTGACTATTTGCTTTAATTTGCTTGTTGCTTCAAGAAATGGAACATTGATGCGATTCAATGTGTTGTTTGCCGTGGGTGTTAAGTGCGAACAGTCGCTGTCCTTCACCTTGTAGGGTCAGTCGTGGATATTCTTTGCGCCACAGCTGCCGCATTCAACGAGTCAGCCTATCCAGATTCTGACTAAATGACACTTGAATTACAAATATCCCTGCATCTGTTGCAATACAGACACGGTGAAACACAAGTGCTCTTGCCAACACTGCTTCCAGTGCTTCAACTTGCTTTATTCCAGAGCCACAAGGCTGGATTGAGCTCTGATGTGGTTTGTGCTGTGGCCCAAAAAACATTCACAGAAGTACCGCCAGACATTGAAGCGCCTGATGGGCGTGCAGAGAGCAGGGAGGGTGTGCCCCATCCCGCAGCAGGCTTCGGCAGCATCACAGCCAGGCAGCGAGGCGGCTGGCACCACAGCCTCTGTGCCCATGGGAGCGCCTGCGGCAGCACTCCTGACTGGCCAGCTGCCAGGGGCCCCTGGCTTTCTGGGCTCCTTGCCACAGGTGGGCACTGAGCATTTCCCCTCCAGCGCTGGCGGGAAAGTGCCTTGTCACACAGTTGCTGGCCTTGCTGAAAGAGTGTGACACTGTTGTGGTAGTCACACACCACTAGCACAAAGCACATGAGAGCAGGTCAAATCGCATATTGTCAGCGATGGTTATTTGGTGTCTTTTTGATCAAGGTAGGTCAGTTTGTTCACAAGAAGCTCCAGTTGCAGTTGCCCGAATGCTGCAGGACAGCGCCCTTGCACTTCCAATTCATGGTGTTGTCGGACACTGCGCATCCTGCAGTACATTCAGCGCTGCACTTGTTGCTGTTTTAAATGGTGCATGAATGACAGCTTGTAAACTGTGCATTTACATGACCGTAATGTATATAATTATAATAATTGTATAATTGCGTAACGTTTATAAACTACGAATTTGCGCAGTGCTGCAAGGACATTGGTTTGTGCTTGTTGACCTGCACCTTTGGCTTGTTGGCTGCTGTTGACTTGCTGTGAGGACGGTGCTTTGAGTTGAACAATTGGACTGTGGAACTGTTGCCTGTCATTTGAGAACTTAGCTTGCAAGCTTGTCATCCCTGCTCTGTGAGGGGCGGCACAGAGGAATCAGGTTGTGCTTTGCTTGTTGGACCGCTTGCTGCATCAAAGTACTGTAGAGTACTAAACCGTTTCGTGTAGTAACATAATGCTTGGCCTTTTTTTGCAGAGAAAATAGTATGAACAGTAACGCAAATCTTGGCCTTTCTGCACGGAGCAGTGTATAAACACCAGAAATAACGTTCTGAAAACAAAATGTGGAGCAAAGAGCACAACGGCGAAATTGTCTGATGTGGAAGGGTTGAATATTTTACAGTAAATCTTGGGTTGCATGGCCAGGCTTGGTACATTGACTTGTAACATAACATCCCACATGCCTGGTGTACGCTGACAGCACATTTGATGTGACTATGTTGGTCAGGACTGCAAAGTGGCGATGCCTGTATGTTCGAGTCTTCGCATGTTTTATATCCTGTCTGGCAGATGTTACAATGCACATGACGTCATCAATATTGGAGCGTGATATGCGGAGTGCCATGTGCTAGAATCTCATTTGCATTGAAGCCCTTGTTGCAACAATTGCTTGGAGAAAGGAAGAAGGCAGGTCTTGTGGCAGTTGCCTCCCCTTCTTGGCAGTATTTGTTGCAAGCATGTTTTGGGCAACACGTTTCCTGACTGCCCCTGGTTTGGTGCTTTGGCGGCCTGCACAATGGCCAGTGTCAATAGTGTTGGGAATGGTGGCATACCCAGTGCTTGTTCACGGGGATAGACTGTGAACACATGAATAGACAAATAAATTGTGAAACAGACAACAAGCCAGATGCCTCTGGATGAGGTGGGAATTGTGCGCCCCGAAGTTTGACACGATTACCTGTGAAAAGCATGTTCTTGCTGTGCAGGGGATGGGCAACCTATTGCCAGCGTTGACTGCTCTGAGCTCCAACCCCAACCTTTCCAACATGCAGCTCCAGCTGCAGAACATGACGATCCAAGGACTGCCTGCCCTAGGTGAGATCACCGACGAGGCCCCACTGCATGGCTTTTTTCCTTGTGCTTCCCTTGAAGAGCATCACATCTGTGGTGCCAGCTGCCCCATTTTTGCTGATAGACGCGACATTTATAGTGGATATGTATGTATGCGTATGCACGATCGTTGGCCGCCTTGAAAATTTGACAAAACAGAATGAAACAAAAGCAGTAGCGCTGGGCAAGGGGAAATTCTGCTACCGATAGCAGGACACCAAGAAATGTAAATGCTCTGCGCATAGGGCGAGCAACCCTTGACCAACCACTGATGCAATAGCTTGAATGTTAGTAATGCGTTGCTTTGCGGGGGTCACACAAAGGCACTGCCAGGATCGGCAGAGACATGCAGCCCTGTATTCCTTGCAGTGGCTCGATTGAATGTTTGTGGCAATATATTCTAGGCTTCACAGATATGTCATCAGAGCTCTGATGATGGCCACAGCAGCATCCGATAATGTTCTGTAATTCTTCACGATCCTGTTTCCACACACTGCCAACTTCATCATCGCTCTTAAGAGTTCATCCCTATCAATGCACACCATGCTTTAGAGTTCGTGTCTGGACAGAATGGCTGCAGGAGCCTCGTTTATGTGTCTTTTCGTTGGTGTGCAAAATCGAGAGACAGGAAAGCTTCGATGAGCACTCAGGGACTGAGAAATGTATGTATATGTAGTGAGGAATACTAGGCTGGACTGCCACACACATTGCGCACATGGTCCTTTGATTGGCCTGGTGCCGTGGCATCGCAAAATGCGTTGGCATGTCAACAGTCGTGTTGCCTTCGGCCATTACCTCAGAACGATTCACCCATGAGAGCAGAGGCCATGAGGCATGTTCTGTGGTAGTATGTTGCCACTACCTGGTTATTTGACGCTGCCTTTGCTGAGGAAATAAAGCAATGAGATGAAAACAAAGTAAAGAAAAGCATGGTGAGTTTGAAAGGTGTTGAGAACTTAGTAGAGACTGAGAAATAGAAGTTGCTGAGGTTTTGCAGAGCATTGATTGCCAGGTAGCACTCTGATCTCAACAGACATTCAGCTGCGCTGTTCTTTTCTTGCAGGTGGCTTGGATGCCCACTCGGTGTTGCCATCTGGGGGCATGCTGCCGGCGGGCCTGGGATTGGGAATGGGCATGGGGAGCCTCCAAGCCCAAGCACAGGTCCTGATGAGCATGGGCCTCATGGCCCATGGGGTGCCACAGCAGGATGGATGCGCTGCACAGCAGCAGCAGCAGATGCAGAATCATCACCATGGCATGAGCCGTGAGTGTGTAGCCTCTGGCTGGCTTGTTCAGTGTTGATAATCATACACATGCACCCACAAGGCAATGGAGTGAAGTGGGCATATCCACACTTCCCGAAGTACTGTCTCAAGTACTGCTTCCTATGTACTGTTCCCAATTGCTCCAATGCATGTTACCCATTCTCATGTGTGCACCGTGTGTTCACCTTAATGCTTGGCCAGTCCTGGGTTCGTTGAAACTGAATTCTTGTTTCTTGTGCTCCACATTTATATGATATGCTTGGGCACTGGGCAATCGTTCCATGTTGAGGTGAAATCATGGTCTGAGCCGTGAATGCCATTTGATGGCGATCCAGACATATGCAGCTGTGTGCATGAGTTAAGTTTACCGCTGGCCCAGGCTGTTGCAGCTGTGGCAGATTTCACCAGTTCTAGTAAGTGAACGTCTGCTGGCTTTGGTGTATTTTGCTGTTGCACGAGCTGGCAGCATCTGACTTTGCTGTGTGCCTGTGGATGAGCAGGGAGCGCATCTGTCCCTGCCAACGAGATGGCCACCATTGCTGGTGTCCAGCACTTGAGGAGAAATCGCTCTGCAGTCTTGCCAACCACGGCAGAGGTTGTCCCTCAGGGTGCGTGCTTGTCTTGGTGTCACTAGCGTTAAATCGGAAGGCCATCCAGAAGGAATGCAAAGGAAGTGTAGCACCTCTGAATTGCCTGATGCAGCTGCAACATTGAATTTCATCCCCTGATGGGGCCACTTTTCTCCACCAGAGTAAGGTGTGCGCAGTGTGGAAGAGTTGTGGGTTGCTTGCATCACCATGCACGCTGTTTTGTGCAGGCCCGTAAGAGACAGATCTCTGGCATTCACTGCAGCTACATTGGCAGCTTTGCGATCACCTCATCATCTGTGCTTATGCATACAGTGTGTTGCGAACATGTCATGCCTGTAAACATTACATCCCCGCGATTTCCTGGAACACAAGACCTTGCATGCAGATGTGCTGCCAACGTGACGTTCCCATGGTGCAACAGTAGCAAACTGCCAGTTGCGCCCCTGAAACCCTTTCAGCAACAGCACTGCGATCAGCGCTGATTGTGCACTTGGAGCACAGGGTCCCACCAACGGTGGTTGGAGCCCTGTCAGAGCAGCGGCAGTACCAGCACTGGCCCTTTTGCCGTGTTATCTACTGTCCTGTTTTGAGCTGTGCTGCAGGCAGTGTGCCAGCGTCAACTAATTCCACAGTCAACCCTGCCCCCATTCCCATCTTGTCCTCCGTGGATGGTGGTGCGATGCCAGGTGCCGTGTCTCTCATGGGGGGCCTCAATGTGGGTGCAACACATCCAGAAGATGCCTCTCCACACTGCAGGCCACAGGACCAGGCTGGTGCAGCTACAGCCGCCAGTGCTGGGCTGCTGGAACTGCAGGTACCAGTTCTTCTAGACCACCTGTTGTTCTGTATGGTTGTTGCATTGATTGTGTTTGCACAGCTTCCGCGTTCTGTGTACTCTGTGTGTTGCACACATGGTGTGCAGTCTGGTGAGCCTGTTGCCTTGTTGCTGCCAAAGTAACAGCGCATTTAGGATGTCTGTCACCACCCCCATTGAGATTGGAGATACACACACAGGCCTCTGGCCAGCGTCAGAATGCTTGGGAAGACAATCCTGAGATTGTGCAAGCCTTGCAAGTGCAGGACAGCCACATTCCAGTTGATCGCTAGATTCATGACCAAAACAATCGAAATCAGTTCCAGCGCTGCCATGCCACTACTGCCCTGCAATGACTCAGTATTGTCGCTGCTCCATGCCATTACAGTCGCTGTATAAAAGAGAGAAAAAAGGGTGGTCATTACTCGCCTCGTGCCTGTGAACTGGCCTTTGCGATGTTTGTCAACATCAATGCAGTGGAATGAAGGTGCCATAACGGCCATGACAATGAAAGTCCTTGTGCACCTTGCAGGCAATGATGTTGCAAAACAAGAACCAATCATTGGTCATGTTTGAGAGCTCATCATTCTGCACACCAGTGCAAGATGTACCATTATTAGTGAGACAACCGTCAGACCTTGCTGTGTGAGTGTAGTGAAATGCAGTTGATGCCTCGGCGTGGTGACAGGTGAAACAGGAGGAACCTGGGGTGCGGCCACCAGCCACTGGCCAAGCCCCAGATGGAAGCCATCCTGCCAAGGTCCTTGGGGGAATGGGCACTGGCTGCGGCTTCATGGCTGACGAGGCCCTGCTGGGGGCCATTGGTATGGATGGGGAACTGACAGCGTTCAATGATGAGGATTACCCTGGATTTGGGGAAGCAGCAGGGATGCCCCTGGAGGAGAGCAAGGACACGGGGATGGAAGAGTTCCTTAACGACTTCCTCAGAGTATGTTCGTTGTTGTATTATGAAGCACTTGGTGTATGTATTGGGCACATTTGCTTTAAGAAGATGAAATCACTGCACAAGAAACTATAGAGTTATTGACTTTTGTCCAAAGATGTTTTACAGTGTCAAACGCATTCTAGCTGCAAACACCAAGGTCCAGGTTGGCAATAAAGTGGCGGGCTTGCAGCCGCCAGAAAGCCGTAACTGACCTTGCACCTTGTGAGCAACTGTAAGTGCAGAAAAGTTTTATGTCTTTTGGTTGACTGTCTGAAGATCGTAGTTGTGCACACTACCCTGTGAGACAGTTCTATGTTACCTATGCATTATTGATGGACTCTCACTGGCAAGGTGACTGGGCCCAAGTATGGACAGATGCGAAATCATGCACCCAGGGAGCCCGTGCATTCAGTTGTTGTTGTGTTCTGGGGATGCACCCATTCTGGGGTACAGCAGAGATTTCAAAGTTTGGGTGGTTGGGATGCTAGAATGTGTGTGGTAGTGTCTAGAAACGGCCCCTACGAATGTTTATGTGCTGCTGTCAACAGTGTACCGGCTGTGCGCTACCATTGAGTGTGCTGTAGATATGAATGTCGACAAATTGAGAGCTATAGCAATGTTGTAAATATCTGGCATTAATTTGCTATACAAAGCATGTAACTGAGAAGCAGGATTGTGCTGCGTACAGTGCAACTTACTTTGTGCAGTATTGCATGCCATGGTCAGCAAGTACCTAACGGTGTTTGTATTGGTGTAAGTGCAAGTACCTGTCTATTTGTAACACAAAAATCAAGGCACAGCAGTGTATGTGCAGCATCAGGCAGATTGAATTGACGTGCTTTGTGCATTGCTGTCCAGGACATGAATGTTGGCAAGGGTGGCATCGGACAGTAAGCGCTCCAAGGGTGCCTTTATTAATGGGTTGGTTTCAGCTCGTTGGGTTCCGATCCACAGGGCAGCTTGGAAAGGCTTCGATGGTTACGCTCTTCCACATGCAAGAGGCTATGAGGAACGGTTGTTTGAGCCCTTTCAGTCAGTGTTGACATGGAGCACACGGCAGTAGTGTGCGCGTTTGCATGCAGGTTTGAACAACTGTGGTGTGAAACGGCTTTCCTGCGTGGTGTTTTTTTGGACCGCAATAGGCTGCTGCAGGTAAAAGGGGGGCGGGGAGAAGGGAGTACCGGCATGTCATCCCTTGTCTGGAGTGTTGCTGGGGAACGGGATATTTGTGGGGGACAGCAGGGAGTGTCAATAGAAATGGGAAATTTCTGATGGACACGATATGAGGCCGAGCTTCATCCCACACTTGCATTCATCTTCCCACATTGATGGCTGCGATTCTCTTCCATCGGGGAAGTCGGCACCAAAGGCACAGTCATCGCCGCTGCCCCTCCCCTCGCCCACCCCCGGTCCCCACCCCCACCCCCACCCCACACACACCCCTACAATTATGCCAACCCCGGAATCGGCCACTGTTGCCCAAGCTACTGGCCCACCCGCTGTCTTGCGGTGCTTGCTGCTGCTGCCGGGATGTCCCAAGGATGCAGTCAGCGGCTGTGGATGGGCCACTCGTCCGCTCCTGAACAAGCTTGGCGATGCACGACAGCGCCCCGAGCGAATGGTCCGCTGCTTGTGCAGGCAAGAGCACCCTGAATGCATGTGCCTGCGTGTGTGTTACCCAGGCTGTGCAGCAGTTTTTGTTGTTGAAAAGGACTGGGTGGGGCCGCAACGGACTGTGGACCTGACAAGGCAAGGGGTTGGATGAACCACAGTGGCGAGGGCATAAAGAGCGAGCGCGGGCTGAGCGTGGACAAATGTGGCCTGTGTGGCTCTGTGAAGTGCCGCTTGTAAAAGGCCTCTCCAGCGGGGATCATGGCGAGCAAGTGAATGGGCTGGAACTTCAGAGAGATGTGAAATTTCATGTTGAGCTTTCGCCTGTGTGCAGGCGATTCTGCCACTCTGCGGCCAGGATCACGGCGCATTCGAGAACTTGTGCATATAGTATTGCTAAAGCAGCCTCCACGTGCAGCTGCCCTCGAGGGCTGGTGAGCTGCTGCTGCTACCTCACTAATGTGAGGATCCACTCCTTCCATAAAAGCTCCAATATTCAAGGCGCTATGGATGCCTCTTCTTTACTCATCCTGCCATCGATCCTTGTGAACAGAGCTAAGAGATCGTCGCAGTGTTCTACGAATGTCAGTTCACTTCCTCGGACAGGTGGTGCAGAAGCGAGGCACCTTGATTCAGTGCTCGTAAGCAAATGAGGCTGGTCAGCAGAGCCAGAATGGCGCCACCGACACGTCTCAGTCCTTGTCAGTCTATATCACACGTCAATCATTGTTCATTACAACCAACTGACATGCAATTAGGCAACGGCTCGCTTCACCAACAACACAGATCGCGGATTCACGTCGATCACCGTTCAGCACCTCGATTGAGGGATGCAGCTTGTCGGAATTCGCGTTCAGTGCTGCACAGTCTGCGTCACTGACTGGCATTGAGAGCATGCAAAACAGTCTCGCTGCCGTTTGGCTGGATCTGGCAGCATCGTGCTGGCTGTGGCACGAGACAGGCTAGAAAAGAATGCCTTTCTCCACATGACTGCCCCAAAAAATCTGCATCCGTTGCGAAGCAGCGTCAGCAGCCAGCGACAGCGAGATCGGCTTGCCAGTTTGTACTGGGACTATGGAACGTAGCTTGGCCACGCCAGCTTGGCGGTGTGGGACCAGACACGATGAATACTCGATTAACTGTGTCTACTGCTTCAGTGCTGCCTCATGTATGCGCTTTTGCACTCATAAGACTTACTGAACCGCCCCGTCAACGATCATGGACACTTTCTTATGAATCACATGCATCGCTGCGATCGTCCCCCGTGATGGCAATCGACAGACCACACACAACCCGTCAGCGATGATGCTCTTTGGGAGTGTATCCTGACCTGAGCGCATTTCCAAGGCTGATCAGGCAACGTGAGATGGTCAGCACATCAGATCTCAGAACGCACCAACAAGTTGTTGCAAGAACGCAGCACTACAACGTCCAGCTGCGTCACTGGCTGCTTGTCAAAATTACCGGTATTGGGCCACTGAATTGTCTCCGTCCAATACATGAGACAAAAAAAAGAAGTACGGAAAAAATATGATGAGAAGTAAATATGAGACTGGAAGAACGCATGAAGCAGCAGGAAAATGAACTTTCTTTTCCTTTAGGAACAAATGCGGCCGCAATCAAGATGACACGGTGTCAAAAGAGTCTACAATCAGCCCATCGCTTCATGGGGTTATGATGAATCTTTTTTCATCTTTCCTAATCGTTTCAAGCTTCATTTTGCGCCCCGCATCACTCTGTGAGTCGAACCAGCGATCGAGATTTGATTAGTGCGCTATCGCTGCGATGGCTGAAATCGAGTCAGCGTTTCGATCCGATTTCGCTATCAACGGTCTCTCTAACCATTTCTATGCTTGCGCTGATACCTGGCCAGTCGCACGGCCACATTTGGTGGCGGGAATTCTGCACTTTCTGTGCTCTATGTCGACCGACATGTTGACCGGTCAAGCCGAAGTGCCTAAGCTGGACTTCGGGGTGCTTTGAGCAATGGATGTTTGGAGCACACGAAGTTTGGCGGAGAAGGTCAATGGCAGGGCGATGGCAGTCGGGAATGGGGAAGCCTTCTGGGGCCAGCCTCTGCCGCTTTCAAAGGCCTTGTAAGCTTCTCAGTAGGGCAGAGGGAATGGTCAGAAGAATGGGACAGGTCGTGGGCAAGTCATTACAGATTTGCGTTCTTCGCCCAAACAATCGATATAGGTTCTGGCCAGCTCTGAGAGGACGGCAGTATTGGCAAAACCGTGGTCACAATATGAGGCAGCGTCTGCTTTTGAAGCATGTCAACGATTCGAGAATTGGGTCGCCCGCTACGGTAGTGGGCGGCACCTCCAAGACATGCCGAAGAGAGGTTTGAGCATGGAGAGAAGTTCTGAATCCAGGAGGAGATTGTAGACGGGGCAGGCGTTGAAGCTGCGACATTGGAACAAGAGTCGAGTTGGGTCGTTTGCCCGGACCAGGAAGTCGTGACCGCTAACCAGCAGGTGCAGGAAGAGCTGGGCGGGGAGCAGGATGGTGTTTCGGAGAGCTGTGTGCCATGGCTGTCTGAGTTGGAACAGTGCACAGCAGCAATGTTCAGGAAAGATGTTTATATGCTTGGCTTGCATGACCCGCCTAATTTTGATGGTTCCGAGAAGTTTAATATGAAGATTTAGCCTTGAACGGGACAAGACATTTTGAGATTAACAAGTTTGACGTGGATCACTTGTTGGATCATGTTATGATCGTTTTCGGACGGGACAAACACACTCAGGTTACAGAGGGAGGCGGCCAAGTCTGTTTGGCGTGCTCTCCGAGTTATGTTGCATGCATTGCTTGTTGCAACAACCGGAGAAGGAGTTGTGATTGTGGCCGAACCCAGCGCCTTTGCGCGCTTGCGCAGCGCTGTCTTACCAGCGACTTTGGTCGGACGAGAACTTGTGGTCGGACCAACGAACCAGGTCACACCCAGTTTTGGGACAAAGAGTTGGGGCTGCCTGTAGCCGGACCCGGTCCCTGTGAGCGGTTTGGGGCTTGGAGTTTGATGCCAGTTCTGCGAACATAGTCCTTTGCATTTTTTGTAAGCTGCGGAGAACCATCGATCCAAATCAGGATTCCGACGTTGCATTCACTTTCATAGTGCTGCTGCCGAATGGCAAGCAGCCCCTCTATTTATGTCCCCTCTGGCAGCCCCCCATGTCCGAGGATACCCAGAATATTCTCTGAATATCTGGTTCAGTGCCAGCAAGCTTCCCGGATCAGTCCCTATACGTCAAATCAGCTTCCCCTCTCATTGCTATGATCCTCAGCTCCACCACTTTTATCCAACTCTCACACTAATTCTCTCACACTAATTATACATGGCAAACATCATTTCACATCAGGAATAACCATGAATCAGTCACTGATCTGCGCCTTACTGGATTGTCTCACAGAAATCAACCATAAAGTATTATAATTATATCTGAATCATCCCCGTTTTAAATCACTGCAGCTTGAGTTAGTCACCATGCCTTATTTAGGTCACAGAAGCACAGTCGTTTTCATGGGAAGCGCTGCACCACCTGCCACCCACCATCATTTGCATCCTGCACGTACCCATCCTCGTCGTCCTCCTAAATCTCAATGTAGTCGTCCTCATCATCATCCTCACCCTCA